CATGTGAACAAATGATGTAAACACACCTCGTGACAGTCACGTGTGGGCATGGCACGTGCTGATAGACTGAAATACGAACACGTCCATAGATAGGATAGCTCAAGATTCCTGAACTCTTATGGGAATACGGCACTTTTCTAGTAAATGATGGGCACACTATAGAAAGGGCTGTCTGTTGTTTGGAACTCAGAAAACGGTGAAATTGTGCAATCAAACTGTCTACGGACTTAAAGTTAGAATCAAATGCATTAAGAGTATTAGCAAATGTAGAATTTTTTGTAACGTGTGCGTTTTATGAACCTGTTCAGAATAAAACTCCTTAGAGAATTAACATATGTTCAAGTGTATGCAAACTGCGCCTAAGAGCAAGTACAGTGAGAGTCAAGGTAGTACGGAGCTGCAAGACAGAAACATCAGATTTGTTTAACACAAACATATACAAGCTTCCCATTCATTAGAAAGGTAAATCTCGCCTTAGATTTTGATCAACTTAGGCCAGGCTAACCCTAACCTTTATAACTAAATGGAGGGCGGACTTTCTGTTACATGAACCCTCAGTTTCATTACATAGGGTAATTTTACGTGTGATCCTGAATATATTTGTCTTTATTTCAAATATGTGAATTTACACAGTTAAGAATTTAAAAAGTTAATAATCGCTGTTAAAATGTAAATATGTTTTTGAAGGAAAAAATAAAGTCGCAATGTTAATTACGGATATGTCTGTCATAGTGATTTTATTTAAGCATGCTTTAGATCAGGTTGGGTATCGGCAACAGACAACAATGAAGAGTGTATGTTTTTATCAACTTAATTAATATATCTAAAGCATGGAGGCTGAGAAGATCCGGGATGATTGTTTCATGTTTATCTTTATAACATTTTTTTTTTTGGGGGGGGGGTTAGAACTGGGGGATACTCGGAATATTTGGGGGCACCATCTAGAAAATACTACGGTCTCTGTTTTGGCGTGGTGGTGGAATAGAATAAAAAGGGGAGCGAGTTTTTATTTTCTGCTTTTTGTCTGTACATTTGACAGCTTTGCTGCCTTATTTCTCATTTTCCCGATTTTTCAATTAAACGGATGGATTCCTTTTCTGCATACTCTGACCCCCCAAATAAATAAATAAATAAATAAATAAAATTGCTCTTAGAGCAAAAAAGACTGCAAATTTGTTGAAGCTATTAATTTTTAGATTTAGTTACAAAATAAATGAAATAGGTCGTAAAGCAAAAAGCTTGCAAAGGTTGTAATTTTTTTAATTCCAATTTACTTGTAATTGTTATGTATTATTGAATGTAGCAGTATTTAGATTGAAGTACAAATTAAATAAGATAATGCAAATTGTACAGCCAGTATATTTATTTTAGCTAATTTTGAAATGGGAAGGATTAGATTATTAAGTGAATAGAATTGCCTAGTACATTTGCATCCAAAAAATTAAAAACAACACAGGGGGGGTCTAAAATCACAAGTACCTTTACCCCTGACACTGGTATGCTACAAATGCTATATGACACCTTTTTTAACAGCTGTTTAGTACTATTCATACCACCTGAATTTCATTTTTGATTGAAAACTTTAATCTTTGTCAACTTTACAAATAGCACAATAACCCTGACATATGTTCCTGAAGGAAAGAGAGGATACTGAGAAGCACTATCAGCGCACCACGGCTTCAAAAGGTTAACTAACAATAAGTATTGCATGTGTATTTTTAACATGCTATACTTACACCTTTCAAAAACTCTATGTCTAACACTGTAAAATGTTCAAAGTATATGTCTGAGAGCTGTATAATATATTTTAAGTATTTACTCTGTACATAATAAATCCCCATGTCATTGTTGTAGGCCTACATATTATATTTTTAAGTTGTAGGCCTACCTTTTCGTAAGATCCATTAAAATTGTAGGCCTACCTTTTGGTAAAAGCCATGAATACACAATTAAGATAAACATAAAACACAGTTCACCTACCTTTTGGCTTGTTTGCTTTGCAGTGGGTCATTTAATTCATTACATCATCTATTCATGTTAAATGTAAACGATTACCATATTTTTAGTCTATTTCATAAAATAGAATATAGAAACAAAATAAAGCAAAAAAATAAAAAAACAATTGCGGCCGATTTCAGGGGTCAAACCCGGGCCCTCCCGCTTACGTGATAGGGCGAAGGCGATAGCGTTTGAGCTATGCAGCCTAGTCGACTGCTAGCCTCTAAAATACAAGTAGTCAATAGTGCCGAGTGCCCAACGTCTAAAGACGCTTTTTGCACACCACACCACGCATTCATTGACAAAAGAATAAGTATAATCTTTCCTTTTCACGTCGCGTTTTGACACTAATAACTTCAAATTGAACGCCAGCCTGCCCGCATAACCATATGCTGCCGCAACGCTGGGACGACCAATAAGACTGCAAAATGCTTTTGCAGTCAATAAGCAGGCAAAAAAAAAAAAAAAAAACAATCCTAATGCAGCCGGATATGCGATTAGGTTTGTATTGGGCTTATCTTGGATTGTATAAACATGGCGGACAAACGTGTGTCAGGTCTGTTGATTTCGCATCACTTTTACAAAATACACTTTTCCGGCGAGGGATTGTTATCTGTATAATGTATTTTAAGCATCAGGGGATGTAATCGGGCTTACATTTAGGTATTATTGTTTAAACATGTGTTATACGCACGCACAGGAGAGATTTTTGTGTCCGAATTTTCCATCTCGTGGACATTTTGAAAACCCTAAGGGCACTCACGCTCACCCACCATATAACTCTAACATTTGATGATTTACATTCAATTCTTTTCTAAGTGATGTTATACGGTGACTCAGTATCAGCTTCTCAAATGAAACAACTATACCGATTAATAGATGTTTTTACATGAAACTTTATGCGATCCAAAATATATTAATATTAATTCATACTAGTACATACGGTATGGACCCTCCAGCACTGATTGTGACAGCCACCAGATGGGTGAAAATCTGCTGTTATTTTATTGGTAGAGCTTGAAGGTTTCATAGAAAAAAGTAAAAAAGACTAATTCTTTTTAATAGCAGAAACATTGATCAATCTCAAGAGCAACAACACCCAGTCTGCAGCAGTGTAATGCATTTTTTGTGAGAGTGTAAAAGTCACTTGCCAGACCAGGGATCGAACCCAGGACCTCTCGCTAACAGGGCGAGTGCTCTACCGCCTGAGCTATCCGGACGGTTCTACCCTGCGTCTGGCACTACAGCAGGACCAAAATGACCAGGCTTCCATTGAATTATGAATTATATCTTATGCAGAACTGCAACGGACTGGGTTGCAGTCTTTTAAAAAATAAATTATCATTGCATGCTTTAAGTTTTCATAACCTATTCTCTATTTCCTCTCAATTCTGCACCCAGACCGCCTCAAGGACATTAACTCCAGGAGAGTTCTGGACGAGGCTGCAAGAAGACGTCGACTGAGGAAGGCACTAGAGGCGCTGGAGAGCGACAACTTTCAAGATGATCCCCATGCCGACCTGAAGATGAGCAAGAGAGCGCCAAAGTTTGAGGAGTCCATGGATGATAAAATGCGTAAGTTCAGCTGTGTTCACGACCATACTTCAAGTACCATCTTTATGTTGAGGACGGTGAAATACAAGGCTTAAGGAAGGTCAGGGGTGGGGTCAAAGTTCAGTTCATTTTCTAATATATTTTGCTCTATTTTCAGCAAAGAAGAAGAGAAAGTCCAAATCTGATGTCTATAAATTTAGGTTTAAGAAAAATTTTACTTCGTTATTGGAAGAAGAGGTATGTTTCTTAGTTATAGATAAATTATGTTATAATTACTGAGTTTTATAGAAAGTAATAGTATATTGGTAATGCTCATTTTCTTCTTTTTCTTGTAATGTGAAAATGTTAGTGATTAGAAAGTAGTTAAGAATAGCCTAAGAATGAATGGAAAATTTTGTATTTTAGTACCTATGAAGTCAGCTTGGTTTTTACCAATATATTAAGTATTGAACATATCTGAAATTGACTATTAAATTTCAAAAATATGTATGATTTTTATTTTTAAGCTGTAAAAAGTTGAACAACTTGGCAGTGGATATTTTTTCACAATTTCACCCTTTTAAAAATATTTATTTTAAAATGCTTTCATTTATTTCCTAATTCAGCACAATACAGAGGAGCCAAACTACTTCTCAGCTCAAGTTCCACCGTCACAGTTTCCTGAGCGACATTTTTGTGCTGTCTGTGGATATCCTTGACATGAAAAATGCTGTTAATTTCTATAAATATAAGAGAACTCATCTGTTTTCAAGGGGATACCCAAATATCTACCTGATCTACTTCAGATGAGTGATAATTTATACTATGACATGCTGAAGAACAGGGACAGATCCAGACATATTTTCTTCCAAATTATCTTTTTGAGCCATCTTCCATTATTGATTGTCTTCCAACAGAAAAAAAGATACCTGTCAATGTTAATTTGAAAATCTGACCGTCTTCCTGAAGACCCATAAGACGACCTCAATCCGCCCCTGAAGAATATGTTATGAGATCTTGACAGCTGGTGTGGGGCTTGTGTCATATGCTATTACAAGAGGCCTTAGTTTGGACACCATATTCTTAATTATGTAATACTTGTCACAGGGTTAGTTTTAACTAGCTATATGTTTTAAAGGACCTTGGTTCAAGAACCATATTGCCAGTGTAACAGGAATGGTACTTAAAACTGCAGTCTGGCCCCCCCCCCCCCCCCCCCATCACTTAGTACAGTTGATATTCATCCCATATACCAACCCCAATACTCCGACTAACCCAAACCTGTACTAATCATATGGGAGCCCAGACTTCTATTCCTAGGACTACCATTGCTGTCACACTACCATATTCTACCAGTGGAAGTTCTATGCTCCTTAACTATTATACATCACCATCTAACTACAAGTGTGTGCCCTGTGGTGCCCGCTACTGCTGTGTACGATGTCTGGGAACACATCAAGATACAAGGTTACTATATTTTATTTATTTATTTATTTATTTATTTATTATTATTATTATTATTATTATTATTATTATTATTATTATTATATGTATTTATTTACATATTTTAAT